GGAACCGACCTTCGAATCTCTTCACCCAACACTTCTACTCGAAATGGAAGTAATCCCAACAATTCTGAAACAAGAGATTCCTCGAATATATATAGAATGGTTAGACAACTTAGTTATTTTAATATTGCTAGATTCCATTGGGTTGACAAAGCCAATACGAATAGCATCTGGGTTCGAGAGCTTCTAATTCCTGCAAACCTCTCCCACAAATAAAGCCAACCTGGCTGAATGCGTGGTAGAAAATGGTAATGAGTATTAGTTAAGATCCATCGAGTGAAATGTAATAATCAAAAGGAGAAGGCTTAATTATAGTCATTTATCGTATAAGTAGAGTTTCGAAACTTACAGTAAATCACTTATATGATATACATTCACCGACTGGTAATAGAATTATCTTCAATGATATGAGTAGACCTGATGTTTCCTTCGAATTTCACAGATCCTTTCATTACCAAAAGTTGTTCTCATCCAGGGTGAACTACAGTTTGCACCTCGCATCGGTCTTATCAACAGTCCCAGCGGGAGTCGAACCGTGACAGTGCAGCATGTGAGCTTGACAGCTTAGCCACTAGGCCACATTGCCACATGATCCTTGGGTCAAGGAAGGCCAGACCTTTTCCCATATCACCTTCTTTGGTGGGATTGTAGATAAAGCAAACGTATTGTTGCCATAGCAAGTAGGGTTACGGCTTATAGATTTACTGGTAGTCTCGAAGCTCTACTTAAATAATAATAATAACGTAGCAAAAATACGTTTGCTTCATCGACAATTCCAACTAAGAATCTGATATGGGAAAAGGCCTGGCCCGCTGTGGTCCACTTTGGATAAGAAATTCAATGGAAACGTCAGCTCTACTCGTAGCATTGTGGAAAATTCTACTTTAACGAATTAGGGTGAATACATCTCATATAAACTCTACTTTTATACGGAATGTGACTATCGTAAATCATGCTGTTCTGCTCCGACGATGTCCGTCAATTGACGGGCGAAAGCTGACCAAGAATTCTTTCGGGTCGTGTGACGTTGCGCCGGGGACCTATTCGCACAAATCTACAATCCCAACTCCATGGCAATGCTCCTTCGAATCCGGCGAAAAGGTGCTAAGCTTTCGTACGTCATATGACGAATATCATCAGAGCAAGATATCATCGTCACAACGAAATTCCAGCTAACGAGTCAAGAAATCCGCCTTCGTTTTCTGGTAGAATCGACCTTTGAGTTTCTTCATCAGACACTTTCACTTGAAATGGAAGTAAGCTCAACAACAATTAAAAAAAACGTAAAGCGCTTTTTAGAGATTTGCTGGTGAGTTTTCTTGACTTGTTTTGTTGAATTTTGTTGTGACGATGATAACTCGCTCTTATGCTGTCCGTCATATGACGGACGAAAGCTCAGCACCTTTTCACCGGAATCGAAGGAGATTAACTCGGAAACAGCGTCAACATGAGTCTTCTAGTAAAGCCAATCGACAGTTTGTCAAGAGGAATTCGCTGTCGTCTTCTGTTGGAACCGACCTCTGAATCTCTTCACTCAACACCTTCACTCGAAATGGAAGTAAGCTCAACAATTATGAAACAAGAGCTCCTCGAGACCCAATTTTTCTTCGCATATATTAGAGGTGAAGCTATTTATGGTACAAATCTCGAGTTGAACTTGGTCAGGATGCATTGAAAAGTCAGCCTTCTTTCTTGCATTAGTGTTTTTTGCGAAGTTTTATTGAAAAACGGTTTCGAGCTATGACATTTTATCCAACTCTCCACATAAAATTAAAGACACGATTTAGGGATTTTTGTTAACCCAACTTTAAATTCTATTTTCGACGCATTTTGTTGACATAACTGCTATTCAAATGTATCGCTTAGCAAAAATTTGTTCAGAGTTTGATCAGGCAAGAAAAACCGGATGTCCTAGAAGCATCTATTGGACTGAAGTTGGCGTACCTTTCGGTTCGTTAATATATTGGTACCACTGGAATTCGAAGAAGTAGTTTGTTCGAATAAGTCCTCTTCAAAATGTCTCGCATGGATTTATCCTTCTTTACTTTCTATAAGCTATTTCATGAGTTAACTCTAGATATTTTTAATAAAGTGATACACTTGAATAGGATTTATCGAACCAAAATAAATCGAAAAATGTGTGGTTTCCAAAACCCCTCAGTAGTTGTATATTATGTTGTTTTTCATTTTGTATGGAAAGGAGGATAGGAGCGATTAATAAATTTGCTTTATTTGGAAGCTGTCTTTGGGGCTTTGGCAGATCGCGAAACCGTTCTTCAATAAAACTATAAATTACGCCATTGTAAGAATGATAACTGATTGTTATTCGGAATATTTAACTTTACACAAGTGCTAATGTTGCAAATTATTATCTAATTGTATCTAATGGTTTTTATGATTTCAACCAATTATTACTACTAATGACCTTTATCGAGTTTAAATGAGTAATATGAATTATGTGGCAATGTGACGTAGTGGTCAATGTGTCGAGCTTACACGCTGCCCTGTCACGGTTCGACTCCCGCTTGAGATCGAAACTGCAGTCCACCCCGGAGGAGAACAATTTTTGGCGATTAAACTAGTAATGATGCGAACAGTCTTAAGTAATACCTAGAAATACAACTAATTAATGTTAATATAATAACAATAATCTCGGACTTCAGCCTGCAATCGCTATTAGCTTTGTGGCTTTTCAGTTGTTCGTTGTTCCACTCCGAGGCAATATGACTTTGTGCTCATCTGACCGGATTGTCATACGAGACGGAATAGCAAATTTGACTGGGGCATGGCCTCAACGGTGACCATGGTGACCATTGAACTGGGGATTATTTAGTCAGCATCTTAATTTTGTCTACTTTAGCCACTGCTGAGATGGTTGCTGGATGGCTTTTAATCCACATTTATGCGAGCATTTCGAGAGCTCCCGCTCCGTTTTCGCCCTCAGACAATGACTCCGAGCTGTCAGCTTGACAGAATCTCAGATTGGTTCGGACGAAGCTGCCAGGTTCCGGTGATGCTATGCTGTTGTCTTGGCTTACGCACAACCGCCAGCACGACGATGGAAGTCGTCATCACTTTTTGCTGTGCATTCTTTCCTCATTTGGACACATCAGGCAGGATTAATATGCATATTTATCATACGGTATGCGTGCCCAAAATGCTCATAAGATTCTTTCTGCAAACTCCACTCCCAGACAGACCCATGCGCCTCGGCCAATTCCTTTCCATCACATCCACAAACTCTCTTCTTTTCTCTTCCCTTTGCCGAGTTCGTGCTGACCGCAGCTTGGTTTGGTTTGGTTTGGCTTGGCCAATTTCCGCCAGTTTCTGTCATATTTACGCTTACCCACGCCCCACCTGATGGACCAACAGCAAGATCGCTTGCGTACATTCGACATTTGGTGCAGGCCACCGCCATGTTGGCAGTTGTCGTGTTGTCATGACAAAGTATAGCGATCAACCGGCCTCTAAGGTGTGGCCCCACTTGCCCACTTCGCCTGCACACAGACCCTCGACTGGTGTCACGCAATGTCTAGAAGACACCTGAAAAGCTGTGGTACTCTTGTCTCTGGCTGTCCTTTCGTCTCGGCCCAATCGTATGTCTTCGCAGAAAAGCTCTCTCGGAGACTATTCACAAACGACCACTGCACGCTCAGACCCTGCCGACCGGTTTTGGAAGGCATTTTGTCGGTTTCCCCTCGCCGCGTTGCTTCGCTTTCCCGGTCTGGGAAGTTCCACAGCCCGTGTTCAGGTGTGCCCTCGTCAAGACCTCCTACCCCCGTGCGTGCATCCCTACCGGCCTGCTCTCTTGCATGACCGGGCCTACAGCTGTTCTCCTCTGCTCTACCGATTTGCTTCCTCGCGCCACTCTCGCCACTAATTGCTCCATGTCATGGCAGCCTCAGACTGCCGCCTACCTCTGGGCCGAGAAAGTTAGTATGATTCACAGACATTGGCCGGTGAACCTCGTGAGTAGGGCCTTTCTCTCATTTCCCAAGACAGCTGTGTAGCGGAGCTGGGTCTTGAAGAGTTTCCTAATAAATTCGCGTATTTTTCAACGGAGCACCCACTTGCTGTCGCAATTGTAGACTTTTCCCAACCAGCTTTCCCGCTGCATTTTCACGCGATCCCAACGTATCCATACTCTCCTTGTGTCTGTCCCGCTTTGAGAGACACCGCCAAAGTCTGAATATATGCTTTAGTTGAGTTTGCGGTGAGACAAATTCGCAAATTACGTCTAACTTCTCCTTCGAAGTGAAAAGTCGAGTCACATTAAACTGTGTACATACAGTAATACAGACATAAAATACACACACATATGTACATATATATACTGTGTCTGCCAATCTGTATGCATATAAATATATGTCTACGTGTTTGCGTGTCAGTATAGCTTTATATATGACACCACTTTACTTCTCACAGGCCAGGTTATTTGAACGTAATTCGTGAATTAATCTATGTGTATCTATCTATCTATCAATCAATCAATATAAATATATATATATATTTATATTTATATATCTGGATAATTAGAAGGATAAATATATGGGAATTCTTCGAAAACGACTTTATATGCATAATCCTTCTTCATTTTACGGGAAGTTAATTTACAGTTATCTTCCATCCGCATTTAGGCATCAAAATGAACGGCACGACAACATCAATCTATTGTCGGGCTTCACAAAACCGAGGAAGCCGGAGATACTTTTAGGAGTGCAGTTATTATAATGCACGGC